GACCAAAGCGGACGGGCTGGGCGGCAAGGTGGAGCCGGGCGGCGGGCCCGGGGAGCTGGCGCCCGTCGGGCCGGACGAGAAGGAGAAGGGCTCCGGCGGCGGGGGGGAGGAGAAGAAGGGGGCGGGCGAGGGCGGCAAGGACGGGGAGGGGGGCAAGGAGGGCGAGAAGAAGAACGGCAAGTACGAGAAGCCGCCGTTCAGCTACAACGCGCTCATCATGATGGCCATCCGGCAGAGCCCGGAGAAGCGGCTCACGCTCAATGGTATCTACGAGTTCATCATGAAGAACTTCCCTTACTACCGCGAGAACAAGCAGGGCTGGCAGAACTCCATCCGCCACAACCTGTCCCTCAACAAGTGCTTCGTGAAGGTGCCGCGCCACTATGATGACCCGGGCAAGGGCAACTACTGGATGCTGGACCCGTCGAGCGACGATGTGTTCATCGGCGGCACGACGGGCAAGCTGCGGCGCCGCTCCACCACGTCGCGGGCCAAGCTGGCGTTCAAGCGCGGTGCGCGCCTCACCTCCACCGGCCTCACCTTCATGGACCGCGCCGGCTCCCTCTACTGGCCCATGTCGCCCTTCCTGTCCCTGCACCACCCCCGCGCCAGCAGCACTTTGAGTTACAATGGCACCACGTCGGCCTACCCTAGCCACCCCATGCCCTACAGTTCCGTGTTGACTCAGAACTCGCTGGGCAACAACCACTCCTTCTCCACGGCCAATGGCCTGAGCGTGGACCGGCTGGTCAACGGGGAGATCCCGTACGCCACGCACCACCTGACGGCCGCGGCGCTCGCAGCCTCGGTGCCCTGCGGGCTGTCGGTGCCCTGCTCCGGGACCTACTCCCTCAACCCCTGCTCCGTCAACCTGCTCGCGGGCCAGACCAGTTACTTTTTCCCCCACGTCCCGCACCCGTCAATGACTTCGCAGAGCAGCACGTCCATGAGCGCCCGCGCCGCATCCTCCTCCACGTCTCCGCAGGCCCCCTCGACCCTGCCGTGTGAGTCTTTAAGACCCTCTTTGCCAAGTTTCACGACGGGACTGTCTGGAGGACTGTCTGATTATTTCACACATCAAAATCAGGGGTCTTCTTCCAACCCTTTAATACATTAACATCCCTGGGACCAGACTGTAAGTGAACGTTTTACACACATTTGCATTGTAAATGATAATTAAAAAAAATAAGTCCAGGTATTTTTTATTAAGCCCCCCCCCTCCATTTCTGTACGTTTGTTCAGTCTTTAGGGTTGTTTATTATTCTAACAAGGTGTGGAGTGTCAGCGAGGTGCAATGTGGGGAGAATACATTGTAGAATATAAGGTTTGGAAGTCAAAATTATAGTAGAATGTGTATCTAAATAGTGACTGCTTTGCCATTTCATTCAAACCTGACAAGTCTGTCTCTTAAGAGCCGCCAGATTTCCATGTGTGCAGTATTATAAGTTATCATGGATCTATATGGTGGACGCAGACCTTGAGAACAACCTAAATTATGGGGAGAGTTTTAAAATGTTAAACTGTAATTTGTATTTAAGAAACATTCGTAGTAAAGGTGCCCAGGAAATTATTTTTGCCATTTATTGTTTTTGTCTTTTTCTTTAAAAAACTGTTTGGGTTTTTTATTTTTGTTTTGTTTTTAGTTGGTTTTTTTTTTGTTTGTTTACTTTTAGACCAAAGATTGGGTTCTAGAAAATGCACTTGGTATACTAAGTATTAAGCAAACAAACAAACAAAAGAAAAGTTGTTTCAGTTGGCAATACTGCCCATTCAAATGAATTGGAAGGGGACAAAATTAATGATTGCCTTCAGTTTGTGTTGTGTATATTTTGATGTATGTGGTCACTAACAGGTCACTTTTATTTTTTCCTAAATGTAGTGAAATGTTAATACCTATTGTAATTATAGGTAAACTTTGCAAATATGTAACCTGTGTTGCGCAAATGCCGCATAAATTTGAGTGATTGTTAATGTTGTCTTAAAATTTCTTGATTGTGATACTGTGGTCATATGCCCGTGTTTGTCACTTACAAAAATGTTTACTATGAACACACAGAAATAAAAAATAGGCTAAATTCATATATATCTTGAAACTTTTGTCTCTTTTATTAAATAGAGCTAATTTTTAAAAGCCCATTAAAATGATAGGAATCCAAAGGCTTTTTCAGCCAATCTGAGATTAAAATTGCTCCTTTGATTTTAGCTTGAGACTTTTAAAATGAAAACCATATTTTTATCCATTGTAGAATGAACGTTAACAAGGAGCAGACTATTTATTAAACACTAGCTTTTCAAACAAGTATAGGCTTTTTAGCCAATATCTTTTAAGTTTCTGTGGATATAGAGCAAAAGGAGATATAATTTAATTTTATGTGCATAGTTCTATACCTTGTGTTTATCTTCAAATCAGTTAATAGAATGCTTTTATATATTTTGTTTCAGGTATCTTGTTTATAGAACTTGATAAATTATAAATATGTGTATATGTTAGATAGAAATAAATATAATGCACACATATGTAATATATATAGACACACAGATCTTCAGTTCAGGTACAATTTGAGCTATGAATGCTGCAAACATTTTTGTTTAAAATATTTGTATTTATACTTTCTAAGTCAGCATTTATTTTTGTGGCTGTTTATCCACAATGAAAGTTCTAATAAAGATGTGCTAAAGTTTCATTATAGATTTTGCTGAAATTATCACCTGTTGTAATGACTTGCAGATTATGTTTATATTTTATTTTTAAATGATAAAAATTTAAAATTCTAGCTGTTCAGAAGTAAAATGCCTCTTTTTAAAAAAAGAATTTGAAAATGTAGAGGTATTTATTTGATCCCCTTTTAAGTATGTCTGTATGATTTAATTGAGAGATTGATTCCTTTACATTCATAATATTAATTTGGCATATATATAAAAATTAGTAGATATCATTCATATATATCATTATATATGAAATCTAAAACTTAAAAAAAAGTTTCAGGCAGCCAAAATGCTGTAACTATAGAAAATTATTAGAAAACTTAAGTACAAGGTTTATTAACTAATTGGATCCTGTGGTGAATCTGTAGAGGACAAGTTGTTGATTTGCTACATTTGTATAGTCTGAAATGTATTCTGCAGTAATGCAATAAGCTGGATACTTTTTACAATGGGCCCAGTGAAAAATAATCTGTCCCCAAGATGTTATTGGCAAACACTTAGAGCTACTCAAGGGGATGCTAGGGGAAGTATTGCAGAGAAGTAAACTAACTCACAAAAATTTGAAATTGAAATAGAGTTGTTAATATGGAAATATTGACGGTTGACAAGCTAGAATGGAGGAGGGAGACTTGAAAAGAAGATGATTATGTTAAAAAACAAACAAAAAGCTCTTCATCAGAGAAAGAACTAAGAAAGATAGGGGCTAAGAAAATGAATAAAGCTCGAACCAAATGTGTACAAATGATGAATATAACAAATCCATTTAAACTAGACATGATTTGATTGGTATGAGAACAATTTTTACTAGTGTTTCAGGTTTCTTTAATAGTTCAGAAAGAAACAGGAACAGTCCACAAATTATTATTTCAATAGCCAATTCATATTAAACAGTAATAATCCAAGTGAACAGAGTTAAAGGAAATCCCTATTACATAACAGTGAACAAAAATAGCTCAAAGAAAGGCATGTGTTTATGTTGACATAGATATGATGTATTATTTTTGCCTTAGATTTTATTTGGGGATGAGAATGTAAATAGTATATGGGAAATACAATCTTTCTGCCAACCATAAGGTAAATAGAAAGTTGAGGTAAAAATACGTAGATATACAAGAAAGATTTCTTCTATCAGTATTTTCTTTTCCTGGCTACATTTCAAAATATGCTTATTTGTAATAATAAGGAGTTGATTCCCAGATAATAGTAAAATAGCATTTCAATGAAGAAATCACAACTCTAAGATTAAAGTAGGATTGATTTATTTGAAATAATAGGAATTAAAGACAGGAATGGAAGTTCTGCTTGGACACATGTCCAAGTTTCATATATATTGGATGTGATTAGAAATAAAGACAGCTTGTTTTACAAGCATCTAGCCATCAAGAGGGATATAGAGGGAAAAGTGTGTTAAGGCCTTTGATGCCAAATATGAACATTTCAGATATCTCCTCTCTTTGAGCATCCCCTAAATTTTCTTCTCAAAAGACATAAGACCGTCGCTGATGGCATATATTTGTACATTAAATTGGTTGTAATGTTGTATTGATAATTTTTGTCACTAACCTTTGCCAGTTAAAATTAGCTTATGTCAGAAAAGATTTTTAAAACTTTTTGAAGTTTTTATCATATAGGATTATTTTTAATGAGATCAAAGTTTCTTGAAGTTCTTCAACTGAAAGTAATCACAACATAAAATTTGAAATCCGGAATTTTATTTCTAGATGTATTTTACTTGAGTTTGTCTGATATAAACAAATTTAATAAGATTAATATATAAGTACAGTGAGAGCATTAGTTATACTGAAACACTGACAAGATCCTCCCATTTTTCTCAGACCTTTTATATATCTGGGTATCCAGAGAACATAAACTCCAGGTCTAACAAGATTCAATAAAATTATCATTATGATTATAGAGGCTTAATGAGTTTCTGTGATTTATATAAAATCAAGGATAGAAATGTTGAAAAATTAGTCTTGCAGTATATTGATTTGAGTATACTTCAGTTGGTGGCTATTTTACCCGAGATAGCGGGCTAATTCAGTATCTTTTCAATATACTTAGAACTCTTAACTCTTTGAGTATGGTGGTGGTTCTTTTTATATAAGGCATTTTTAATAACATTGTTGAGGAATTTGCATGCATCGAAATAATTTTGCTTTGGAAAAATTTTATGAAGAGTTAAAGTGGCTGGATGTGTTTAAGACTAAAAGCACATTGGAGAATTAGGCTAACAAAGGGTGAAGGTGAAGATCATTAGAGTTTTAGAGCTGGCTGAGATGGTTGCTGAGGTTGTGTAACTGTGCTTAGAGGGCGGGGTTCCTGTGCATTCCTACTTCACCAGATAACCTACCCCCAACGCCACTCCAGCTTCTGCCAGACTGATGGAACTCTTCAACAGGAAAATCTGCGAAGCCATTCCATCAAGCAGGGTAGGTCAAACTTGAATTAAAATCTTCCCTTTCTCCCTTACCTCCTCCCACTTGAGGCTAGATTGCAAAGATGTGGAAAGAATAGGGGTCATCTAGATTCTCCCTTTCAGGCACGCACATGTCTGCATTCTTCCTAAGAGCTGCCCTTCTACCTACCTGTAAGAGTTCAAAGCTATCTTTCACAGTGCGTGTTTCTTTATTTCCAAGTGTGCGTGTGTGTTCTCTTTTTCTCATTTCAGTCATTCCCTTCTGTGCTCCCTCTAGCGCACCCCCCCCCCCAACTACCAGCAGTTAAAATAGTCCACCTTTTAGGTTTTTTCCCCTAAACTGACCTTTTACCCTCTCAGTTTTCTGGAGTCTTGTCCTGAAGATGTAGGCCTTAGGGGTTCTGGGCTGGTGGAGAGGTGATGTGGTATTTTGTTTTGAGTCTCTTTTTCTCCATCCCAATTTCTCTTTTCCCCCCTCGACCCAAGACTCAAACTGGCGTGGTCCGAAGGATGGCGGGGGAAGAGACAAGCCATGGGAGCATCTATTCCTCAATGGCGGTAAGTGAAAGGGGCTTTTTTGAAGGGCTAGGTGGGTGTGAGGGCTTGGGTCTCAGTGCTGTGCCTAAGGTTATAAACCGTGAGTTGGAGGAAACATTTAAGGAAATAACTTCGAAGCAGCTCGCTTCCAACAGAAGTACCTAAATGAAGGCACCATTTTCCCACATCAAAAGAAAGTCATAATGAATCGTCCCTCCACTAAACAGGGTGTAGAAGCGACAAAGGGACATGGTGAGAAAATAAGAACTTACATACAAGAAGAGTAATGAAAGAACTAAGTTCTAGGATGCAAAATAATTTATTTCTTGGAAATATGGTCTGTGAGTTTTGTGGCTGCATCGAGAATGTGCTATCATATTGTTATTGTTTCAAACTCGGAGCTGTCTGCTCTAAGAGAAGGCTTGCCTCACTAAAAAAAAAAAGTTTGTTTTTGC